TTGTTGTGCCTACAGGTTCATCGGAACGCGCAAGCCCCCTCACCACGACAAGGTGACAGTCCATCGAGAGGGTACACACACACACACACACATACATATACATACACACTATTGAATTACAACCTGGTATCTCTAGCGGTAGAATGCAACACCAAAGTATAAATTTTCATGTAAAACAGAAATACAATATTACACATGATAAAATGGAGAAAAATTAAGAAGGGGTAAATAATGGGAAAGTATCGTCAGCACATTTGAGATGTACTGCTTTAATTTGTTGAGAGCGTTTGTAAAATTAATGTATTTATTGTAATCCATGAAAGCTCATACTAAAAAAAAATATCTCAAAGGTGCTACAAAATCTTTCTGTGTCTATCAGATGAAAATAGACATTTGAAAAATGTTTCACATGCTAACCTTCCTGGCAATTTAAAATTCAGTTAAAAAGTAAGTACACAGAAGATGCTGGGGTCTTGAACTAAGTGCCTTGGAAACTGGAACCAATTTCCACCATGCTAATTTGTCAGAGGAGAGACACAATCTTGCTATTCCATTTGTCTCCTTTGTAGTGCTACCATTATGAATGGCAAAAGGATGATTTTGCAGGTACCAGTTCAGTTGGTGACTCAGAATTTTGTTGACCTCCACTCTGGTCCCATAGTGGTACTGAATGTGTCGTGGTTGAACTTGGAGAATTTGTTGCTCGGGTAGAGATTATAAAGTCTGAAGGTCCCTCACCTGTTCAGGATTCTCTTTGTTTCCCATCTCAATTCTTGATGCATAGTTTTCAAAGTAACATCAACCCAACCCTGTCTACCCTCCCCCTCTAAAAATCATTAATACTCTAATTTTGTTACCACAATATTGGGACACTCCAACATCTTAAAAGCTATTATCACATGTATTTTATAGTGCTTGTTAAGTGTATGCAGCTCCAACTTTAAGTCCTGGGCTATGTTTCATGTGACACGGTCTAATAAAGGAATAGCTCTAATCTTAACAGAATTAGAGCATTATATTCAATACTAGCTGTCCCCTGCTATGCGTTGCTGTGGCCCAGTCTGTTGATCTGGAAAATAAAGTAATGAGAAAG